CTGGTCCCCTCAAAGAGCGCCCCCGAAAGTAGTGGTTGCACAGCTGCCCCAGCCGGGGAGGCATCGGTTCCTCCGGTTTATGAATGGCCCCGGAGAGGGTCCTGGGGATTGGAGGAGAGCTTGCGGGCCAGAGGGCGGATAGGATGACAACAGTCCCCTTTAACCCTTTCCCCACGGCCCGCTCGGGCTCGCCTTTGCCTCCGCCCCGCCCGCCCCAGGGCAGCCTCTCTGTCCGCAGAGCCTCCTTGGGGGACCTGTGAGCCACTAGACCAACAATGTTCTTGGAGAGATGTTTGGGAAGGGGAAAGGGAGGTTCATACGCCACCCAAGGGAGGACCAGAAACCCCTGAGGTGTTTCTACCCGCCAGGCTGAGGGTGGGGCCTGTCTTCCTTAATGTCTATCTGGTTGGTCCAGCAAAGCCTTTCTCTTGGGAGAAAGAGAGTGGGGAGGTGGGGAGTTTAGGCAGGTGGAGAGAGATAAGCTGGGGCACGTGGCCTTTGCTGGCGGTCCAGGGACTCACTGTTATCCTGGCGGGCAGCTCATGGCAAGTTTCTCTCCTGGGTCGCAGTGGGTCACAGTGGATGAGCATCCATTGAAGTTCAAACTGGAGAAAGAGAGCAGACTGTCAGTTCAGGTTCCTTTGGAGGACAGAAGAGGGTCATTTAATAGAGAGGTGAGTCTGTGAGTGTAGTCCAACTGTTCAGTGTCTGGTCACCAACTTGATCTCAGCCCAGCAGGACTCTCGTTCCTTGAATACAATTTTTCCAGTGGAAATGAGCCCTCCCCATATTTCTCCTGGCCTTGGACGTAGATGTCTTTAGTTCTGCAGTGCTCCACTTAGTCCTAGACAGGACCGCTGGCACTGACTTTCTATTTCTGTCCTCACCATGACCTTCAAGAGGTAAATTCTATTAAAATGAGATACAGAACAGAGAGCTGCCCTAGGCACAAGCCAGTAAGTATCAGAGTTTGGATGGGAACCCGAACCTACTGAACACCACAGAGGATATGTGCACTAAGACAGCACATGGGAAAAGATTAGACGCAGCAGAAGAGGCAGCAGCCAGGAATAAAGTAGAGAAAAGAAAATCGGGTTCTGGGAAACATGCCGGAGAAGACATTCGCCAAGGAGTGGTCCCAGCTTAAAGTGGAAATAGGAAGGTCTGGAAGTGGAGGGAATGAGAGAAATTTAAGGACTCAGGAGAAAAAACAAGATAATCAAAAAATATTTAAATGTTATGTAATCTTATGCACTGATTGAAGAGCTATACAATGTCCAGATAACTACTTACATTTTATTAGGTGTTAAGGTAGAAAGAGCAGAACAGAAGAGAAACAGAACAAAGGAAGAATGGCCAGGTCTGAATCTGAAAGCCTCAGGTAACAAGATTAAAAAAAGAAAAAACAATGGTGTACCCCATAGGAGCTTGCCACCACTGGCTGCGCTGGTCCCTCTTCACTGAGGAAGTTCCTTGCTACACATTTCTAATCGGATCCTCATTTTTTGGTCAGTTGATTCTCTTGGCATTATGCAAATGTCTAGTTCAGTGCCCAGGTCCTGAATCTAAATGTAATCTAAATGTAAACTAACATAACATAACGTCTCTTTTCTTTCACCCAATGATAATCTGCACTCTCTCTCCTGCCAAAGGGACTCTTCATCTACTGGCTCTAGAATTAAGTTAG